GTTGTTTGTTGTTGTTGCTGCATGCTACCGCTCGAGCGTGCGCTACGCGCCCCTCACCGAACCCCTTCACCGTACACCCTCCCCTCTGCTTCCTTCCCTTGCACATGCTCAGGTCTGGCTGAGCACGTGCAGGGGAAGGAAGCAGAGGGAGGGGTCACTCGGTGCCCCCCCCCTCGGCTCCACCCCACCCTGCCCCCGCACGAGCACACGTCCAGCTGCCACGCAGCAGCTCGTGCAATGGCTCGGAGTGTACCGAATGGTTGTCTTATATATGCTGTTATCACAATCAAAACATTGGATTGATACATCTGCACCGATGGGTTCCCGGTTTGGCTAGCGGTCGTTTTCTTCTTTCACTAACGTGTTTAATCCCGTGAAGCATTTTGCGGACGGACAGACATACAAACCGACATACATACATACATACCGACAAACCGACACACAGAGTTAGTGGTTTATAGAATGTAAGGATACTGTAGATAGCAATGCATAAAGGAAACTTTTGCTGCTCATACAGTTGGTAACTCGCTCAGTTGGAGCGCTGTCAGGAAGGGCATGGGCCTTCCAGGCTGCCTTTCTTGATAATGGTGTGTTTAGTGATCGACTCTGGAGAACAGCCAGCCTTGAAAAAGCCGTGACGGGGTCATTCTAAGTCTTCTGACAGCGCCGACTGATTGCGACGATATCAGCTATAACAGTCTGGTTCACCACAAGCTAGCAGGCTTCGTCTGCTATGTGTGCTCTGTAAGCGGGTCCACATCGTAATTGTGTGAGACACAGCTGTGAGTATTTGACAGCTGACAAATAGGAGGTGAGAGCTGGCCTCAAGACAAATTTTTGTATTTCCGAATTTTTCGGTTGAGACGCGCTATTTATCCCTTGGCGGGATAATTTTCTGGTAATTGATCAGTCGATCGGTGGTTTCTACTCACCCTCTCTCTCACTTGCGCTTGAAGGCAAAATCTTGGGGGTATTTGAATGGGAGCGTAGGTAGGTTGTGCAAGGGGTCGTACTGAAAGGGAACAATTCAAAGTAGGAAGTGTTCCCAGCAGGGCATATCATTGGTTGGCGATTTTGATAGAGTCCGTACGATGCCCCCCCCCCGCGGGCCCTTTGCGCCTCCTCATCAAATCTAATCGTCGAGCAAGGGGGGGGGGGGGTAAATAGCATATGTAAAACAGGAAAAACCGCGAGACCATACGATCCCCCCTCCCCTTCTACCAACTCTCAGATTTTCTCGTGGTAAGATTTTCCCCAACTTCCCGCCAGTTCCTCCAAAATTCCCCGAAAACTTCCCACTTTTCCCCAAAATTTTTGCTATCGAACGGGAGGTATGCAGTACACATGAAGCAGGAAAATCACGAAAAGTCAACCACCACTCCTAGAAGACCAAAAGTAAATGCGACTCCTTCCTCCCAGCAACGGCCAAATACGATCCCCTCTTTATAGCGTCTGTAAAGCGAGAAAAATCATCCTCTCTTTATAGCGTCTGTAAAGCGAGAAAAATCAACTATCAAAATAAATTTTCTCAGCCCAAATACGACCCCCTCTCCTGGCGGCCGAAATACGACCCCATCGTTGGGGATTCCCCAACAACGATGTACCCTGGTTCCCAGCGATGTTTCCGACAATTACCGATAATCCTCATTTCCATGTGCGACCTTAGCATTGTGTGAAGCAGCTAGGAATGTAAGAAATGTATAAGGATAAGGGATAAGGATAAAGTCTTCGCCGTTGATCAATCCCTTTGTGGGATGCGGCACGCATTCTACTTCCATTCAGAATCGTAGTGGCTTATTGAATGCGATGTGGCCTATACAATGACTTGCGGTGGCCAGCCGATGTACAAGTCAGTGTTTTATCCTCCCAGACGAATCTGGTACCAATTCACCGTCCCGGAGGGTAGAAGGCTTGGTTGGCCTGGGCGGGAGTCGACCCGGGATTCGAACCCGGGACCGCGCGAATGGTGAGCGCCCACTTGTCACTACACCATCTCCGCCTCAAGAAATGGATAGAGTAGAGAAAGTTTTTATCAAAACCAGTATATGGCGATAGACTGATATGCAAGATGAGCGGTTCACTATTTTTTCATCACATCAACTACCGTATCCAATTTTACAGAATAAGCACAGGGATAGAGAAACAAAGCAGTAAAACAGATTGCCGAAAAAAAAACTAAAACCATGGACCAAATCCGTATTTCCAATCTCTGCGCCTGAGCTAGAGTCGCCTTGCGGGTCTGTGGCCGCCTCGCCTTGTTATTGGCCCCCTTACTTGTCTGTCGCGGTCGCTTTCTCTACTCCTAGAACGGAGCAGCATTTTCTTTGCAATTCATCTCAAGGCGAACCGATTGAAGGAGCTCATGTGAGAACAACTGTGGACGGATTCTCAGCATTTGCTGTCACTTCAGAGCGAGCAACTACTGCCAGGAAAACCCGGTCATCGCTCGGCACAAATCCACTTCTTGAACCTTGGCAAGGCTTTTCAAGGCGGTACAAGTTAGAACCCCTATGATATAGCTCCCATTGAATGAAGCCTTCTCCAAATTCAAGTGTTTAAAGAGAATCCCCCTAGGACTGGACTGACATTGCCTCGCTTCTGGAGAGACCAGGTTTATAAAGCGTAAGGCAAGTGATCCCTCCAATCGAGAGGAGCTATATCATGGCTCCCCAGGGAAATCAGCTGGACAGAACGAGAAAAAACAGATGAAGCGCTCCACAAATACTAAGCCTGTCCTTTTCACCTGTTCTCCAGGGTGGCAAGACTTCTGATAATACGTTTCTAATATTTTTTGGCAGAATGTCCAATTCTTCAGTTTGATGTTGAGTTTATGTGACTTACTGTAATTACCGTAACCCCAATCATTGAACAGATATTGAAAATACCCGTATAAACACAGGGTCAGATGAGAGAAATCAGATAGGAATGCTCGCTCATTATTGCTTTGAGGCGCACAGGTGCTGGTGAGTCAACAATTCATCACGATAGTCTCGTCATTACTTTGCATTCTTTTGTAGTTAAGAGGACAGCAGGAAAGTGCATTAATTTGCAGGGCCTAAACACTGTGTCAACATGGATTCGGTGATTGGAGGCACTGGAAAGTTAAACACCGGATATGACATTCCCTTACTCGGACTCGGTACTTACAAAATCACTGGAGAAGAGGTAAGGTCCAGCCGCTCTTGCGAGGTTACTTCACATCTTCTGATTCCTGTGAACCTTGCTCGCACAGCGAAAACATATGAAGCGCGCAGTAAATTGACAAACTCGCCTGCTTCTGAAAGCTTTCCGTGACTAAGTTCTCTCTCTTCTTAGAGCAGCGAAGCTTCAAAACCCGTACCGCAATCAAAATTTGCGGGAACTAAGGCCCAATAGTAATGACCGAGTGGCAAGTAACTCAGTAGTTAAGGAAAGCACTTCCGTGCGTCTCAGACTGGCGCATCTAACAAGACAACCGTAACTCGCTGCCCTGATGGGCACGCCCAGCGGTCGCTTGCCACATGCGGCAAGTGAGTAGTTCACACCTTTTCAAAGATGTTGTCGCTGTGATCTAACCCGAACGGTCACACATTCTCAATGATGCACCGCGCATGACACCGCGGCAACCTACAGTTCTCTTGATTGTCGCCTCGGGACGTGGTGGGCCATAACCGGTTTTCGCTACCTGACAACATAGCGATATCAGCTCATTCTTCTTGCTTCCACTTTCATCGTTCCGAATGGAAAGAGCTAGTAGCGGAACGGCTGCGCCATCGGGTAGCCATTAGAAATGAACTTTGAGAGTGGCAAGGGCATTGATAGGGGCGTTGCCTTTGTGTCGATCAGATGGCGTCCGTATTAAAATTTAGAAAAGGTCAACCTCCGTACTGCGGAGCGGCCTTTAGTGTCAAATGGCGCGTCTGCACGCCAGACGAACGCCGAATTTTCCTTTGAGTAAGCGGAATGAGTTTTATGCGCATGAATGTTTGAACAACAATGCACTCTTCCATGTTTTTTTGAATGAATTATAGCACGAGCACGAGTCGATTCTGAAGACGAGGTACACTCACCTCCGAGGCAGGCCTTCGTTACGAGGGAGATGAATGGGGCAGCTGCTGCGAAGTCGAGCCATTTTGCCCGCTCAAAGTGCACGTGAACGAGGCTACGTGTGGTAGTACCCGAGTGCCGTCTTTCAACCCCGCCCACGCTATCCACAAGGGCAGCCTTTGCGTGATCCCACAGTGAAACACCCCGTTCCTATGTACTCTTAACCGGAGAAAACGGCACGCTACTGCAGCAGTGGACATATTTTCCACAGCAGGGTCGGGTGACTGAACAGTTTGCCTTTAAATTTCCCTGTACAAGTCAAAACGAGCTCCTATAGGTGAAACCGACGGTGGATAAAGCTCTGGCCCTCGGATTCCGATTATTCGACACAGCGAAATACTATGAAAATGAGCCAGAGCTCGGAAATGCATTGGAGGTATGTTTCACAAAACAGTAACATGTCTAAGGATTTTGTTGGAAAGGTCGTACTGCTTGGTGAAACGGCAACAACGTGCATG